CACATCAGCAGGTGCAAGTGGAGGAGTGGGGAATCAAACCCGGATCTCCCAGATTAGAGTCCGCACACTTAACCACTACACCAAACACTACTAACAGTGGAAACTATACTCTACCAACAAAATTGGTTACTTTGCACTTATAGTCTCTAAGGCATTTTGAGCCATGCTTGTAAAGTTTTTGTTTATTTATTTATTTATTAATTCAACTTTATATCCCGCTCGAACCCCTATTTAGGGGTCTCTGAGCGGCTTACAAGTCGGTGCTAGCCACCATTTCAATTTTCCTAACTAGGGCCACATGTTCTATACGGGGTGGGACGACCTACCAGACACCCCTATGGTGGTGGTTAATGATGTTTCTTTGGGTTCTGGTCGGCGACTTTCTTCGGCGGGATGTGTTCTTCCTGGCGCTCGGTGGTAGTTTCTTCCTTTCTGGAGGCGCGCGGCTCCGCCTCTCAGCAATGTCCCTTCCGGCTCCGCTGGGCCAGCGCTCGGCGTTGTCGCGCGTCCTTTTTCTTTCTCGGCAGCCACCTGGTGTTGTCTCTCTTCAGCCGCCAGGGATCGCTCCTTCTGGTTGCGCCCGCTCGCTCGCCATTGCTGCTGCTGCCGCCTCGCCACGTCGCGCCGCCTGCACCAGAGCTGATGCCTCATCGCCGTCGTCGCCGTTGTTGCCGTCTTTAACCGCCACACCAGGCAGGGTGTCCCCCACCCTAGTAAGGGTGGGTACCCATTTATCTACTTGCAATTAAGTTGCTTTCGAACCGCTGGGTGGGCGGGTTACAATGCTACATGACATAGATAGACATCCTGAACTTGCATCATTGTTACTACTTTTAATTACTTCAGAATCTTCATTTTCTTTAACATTCTGGAAATGTAATAGATTTATCTTTTCTCTGTCTTGTCTCTCATTTGCAGCATAGATTTGAAGAACTCTAGAAGATCTTCTGGATACTATCATGTTTATTCCTTGATTTTCAGTACCTGTAGGCTGTTTAAAATTCTCCAAAGCTGTTTTAGTCTCTTCAATCTGAATTGTTTCACCAGATACAGATATCCTCTGTGGAGTCTGAGAAGCAGCAATGCTTCTTTTGTCTTTTCTGGGTGAATATTCTGCTTTTTGCTGTATGGAGAGCTTATTGCTGAAGCTTTCTTCTGTTCGTTTTGTATCAACTTCATGTTTCATAAGGTTGTAAAGTGTGCTAAAAGGAGACATGCTTTTTCTGCCTGATCTGCGTATTTTACATGTAGACTCATCATTTTGTCTGGTAGTATCTTGAGTTCTCTGCTCATCACTCCCATTACTTGTCTGACCTTCCCACTTAAGTTTCTCATCTATGAAGAGATAGAAGCACACAAATTTTTCAATCCCAAAATTTGTTTTTAAAAACAGTAGAAACATTTGTTTTCTCATAATACTTAGTCTCTTCTAGAGGGAGGAAAAAGTGGCACGTGTACATTAGAAACAAAAGCCAAAAGAAAATGCTGGAATATTATTTAAAGCACCATCAATGGGAATAAGAGAAAGAAAACAGAGGCAAGAATAAATGAGTGTTAATTCCATTTATGTGTACTTCATATTAGAAGGGGAGGAAAACTAAATGATTGTGCCAATGGAAATGGTGGCTTTTGAAGTCCATTTGAAACAAGAAGTGGCATTGTACAGAGTTCCAGGCATAAGGAACAACAAGGGAGAAGGGGCAGAGTTGTTTGAAGTAGTAGGGAGAATTCAGGAAGCACAGCTGAAGGAACAAGCAGAGTTGTACAGTGATACATCTATGGAAATATAAAGTGGAAGATCACAGTGGGCTTGGAAGGGAACAACAAGAAGTTTTTTAGCTGTTGTAGATTTTCCAGGCTGTATGGCCATGGTCTTGGCATTGTAGGACCTGACATTTCGCCAGCAGCTGTGACTGGCATCCTCAGAGGTATAACACAGAAAGATGGAGTACTCTCTGTGTCAAGGTGAGAAGAAAAATGGTAGACAGGCAATTTATATCTACTCAGGAAGGTGGGGTAGGGCTGAGAAAGTTTGTGCAGGATCTAAGAACGGACAGCCAGTGTACAGATTTAAAAAGGAACTATGGTCAAAATGAAAACAGTAAATGATTTTGGCCACAGAACACTGGATACGGGTGCAAGGGGGATAGTCCAACAGTAGGCAACCAGAGAAAAGAAGGCTGCAAGTCAAAGCAAGAGATGATCACAGTGATCCAGAGTTATAAAGGGAAAAGTATCATAACTTGATGACAGCCTGAATATGGAAATAAAGGCTTCATGCCTGTTTGGTATAGTGGATGGTGGTGATGTCAATAAATATGGACAATGTATGACAGCTGGGAAGATGGGTAAATTTAGTCTGAGTTTGAGATGGCAATGAGGCATCCATGGGAAAATACCAAACAGCCAAAAGCAGAACTGGATAGAGAGAGAGAGAGTTCAGATAAAGGTGAGATTTGGTATCAGTGTACAGGTGGCACTAAATGTCATCATGTTTGAAGTCATCCAAGGGAAACTACTGGCATATTTTGATGCAACAGGAAGGGAACCAGGGGAAAGGGATAAGTTCTGTGTGGTGGAAAGAAGGTTGCATGTAGAGAGAGATGACAACCAGGATGTCAAGCTAAGAAATTAAACATGGTCAATAGGAGAAATAACGGAAGGAAAGGGAAATGATTGGCGGATCAGCGCGCCTCGAGCGTGAAGGGAGGTGTGTCGTAAAGTGGGAATTGAATGGGGCTTCGCGGGAGTAAAATTGCCAGAAGCCATCTTGGAATGGAAAAACGCCCAGGGAAGCCCAAACTGATAGAGAGGGACCCAAAAGACTCTCCCTACGCCCCCAAAAGGGGCTCAAGGCCCCCCAAAGTATCACCCACCTGTGCCTGACACCTTTAGACACACAAATTTATGAAAAAAGACGCTCCAAGAGCGCTAGGTTGCGTGGAGAGAAGGGAAGCAGAGGAGCAAGCTCAGGAGCTAATCTCCAATCAGACTCACCTTACCCAGGTCCAACCCTAACCCTAACCCTGCCGGGGTATCCCCGCTACTACTTTTGGTTGGCGGCTGGTAGTCATGTCCGGTTTGTGTGACAGACTTCTGAGCTTTGCGGTGGCGGCGACCCCCTCGGTGGCGGCGGCGGTGGCGCACCCGCGGTGGAGTCAGGGCCTCATCAGCGGTTGGTGATGCAAATCCCGGGATTGCCTGCAGCTGGTGGTAGGGTCGGCGGCTGAAGTCGTGGGGCCCGGGCGTCGTCTCGCCCGTTCCCCGCCGCGCCTCAGAAGCACTCACAGGGTTGTTTGAGAGCTTCGCTCATTGGAGAAGGTCTGAAATCAGTTGAAGAGATTTCGCAGGTCCCCCAGCTGTCGAGGCAACTGTGGAGAGGTCAACAGGAGGTCCCCAATAACTCCAGAACCATGGCGCGATGTATGTGTAGGTCGTAGAGGTCTGAAGTTGGGCTGCGATGGACTGCATGGCATCTGTAGGATCACGATCCATAACAACCACACAAATAACAAAACACAGCTAACTGAAGATGGCAGCAAAACCTTCGAAATGATGCAAATCGGGAAACGGCAGGCAGCTGGAGCGAGAGCGCAATTAAATAAATCCGCAAACGTTAAGTGCCTAAACAGCGCCAGGTGAACTCCACCCCCGCCCGTTTCCACCCACGAGTTTTTCTATCGCGAGACAGTTTCCCTCCCGGGAAAAGACACTGGCCAAGCCACACCCCCATCCACAAACCCCTGCACATCCCAGCACGCCACCCCTCCCCCCTCCTGAAAATGCAGTAAGGTAAAGGTAAAGGTTCCCTTGCTCGAAAGCCAGTCGAATCCGACTCTAGGGTTGCGGTGCTCATCTCCGTTTCCAAGCCGAAGAGCCAGCGCTGTCCGAAGACGTTTCCGTGGTCATGTGGCCGGCATGACTAGACACCAAGGCGCACGGAACGCTGTTACCTTCCCACCGAAGTGGTACCTATTTATCTACTTGCTATTTCTTGCTTTCGAACTGCTAGGTTGGCAGGAGCTGGAACTAGAGACGGGAGCTCACTCCATCTTGCGGCACCCGGGTCTCAAACTACTGACCTTCCACAGCCTGCAGTTCAGTAAACGCAGTTAAGAACATCAAAACGAAAACCCAGAAACCTTTACTCAATACAAAGCACTTCTTCTGTGAAACCCAAAAGGAAGCCCAGCAAAGTCTCAACTGAACCAAAAAGGAAATAAAATGACTGTCAGAAACACAGCTACCACAACAGTACCAAGTCTCACAGCCCCACTTCAATGACCTCACCCATCCTAACAGGGTCTAAGGAGTAACGAACTACCTCCTATGAAATCCCATACCCACAATGGGCATGTCAGTTTACAAGCATCACGAGGTGACTGCATGGTGCCCTCTGTTCCATGCTCTGACCGTGCCAAGCCCCTTGATGGCAGGGGTGGCTGCATGGTGCCCTCTGGCCCATGGTCTGACTGAGGCAGGCCTCTGAGCCATGCTCTGCTGCCTGTGCCAGGCCCTAGGAGGATGCCAGGGCGGCTGCATGGTGTTCTCTGCCCCATGGTCTGACTGAGGCAGGCCTCTGAGCCATGCTCTGCTGCCTGTGCCAGGCCCTAGGAGGATGCTAGGGGCGGCTGCATGGTGCCTTTGTTGCACGGTTGCGTGCCCGAAGGCCTTCTCGCATCCCGTCTCGCCGCGCATAGCTGGCACGGATGCTTAGCGTTGTGATAGTGCATGTGTGATCGGAGCGACACATACTCACCAATCTTGCAGCCTGTGAATGGTGGCACTGCTACATGATTGGCGGATAACGCTGGTTGCACGGCGAGATCGTTCTGTATCTCGTCCTCGTGGTCGTCGTTGCTGGTGATAGGCAATCCACCAGCGGGCGGCTCGCCAAACGTCGGCGCGGATGGACGTTGGCCGGTGTTGATAGCGATTTTGATCGCGTCGACGTCGCCATAACTGCCGTTCTCGGATGATAACAGCAGTGAAAACATCGCGATCCTCGTCGGCCGTCGTGATGGCTCGGCTGTTAGTGCAGGCATTGGACGCTGCAGAGACGTAGACATCAAGAGCTCTTCTGAGCGCGTGCGTCGCTCGCTGCCGTAGGTCCGGCAGGTTGAGGTACCATTCCAGGCTGCTCCAGAAGCGGCGTGCTGTCTCGGTGTGAAAAAGCTGCGCCTCCTTGGCTCGTGCGATAGTCAAGTCCGGTGGATTGAGTAGTCGCCAGCGGTGCCATCGCCATCGCTGAGGGACATCAGCGTCGGCAAGCAGGGTCCAGCGACTTCGCACACGCCGCTCCATATCCCGTTCCGCCCGCCGCTTCAGAGCGCCCGCGAGCTGCCGATTGGGGCGCGGCATTCCAGAGTATCCGTGGCGAGCGCCGAACTCCAGGCAGTGCTCCGCCGCCACCGCGTTGCGCATCAAAGCTGACCATCGCAGTCCATGAAGGACACGGTCAAGGAACGTCGCGTACAATGCCGCTGCACGCTCGCGTTTGCTACTGCCTGATGAGTGGTCACTGGCCGTCTCGAGGTCTGTTGGTCGCCAGCCGCACTCCGCTAAACTGTGCTCCGCTTCGCACAGGTAATCTGGTAAGATTTGCCGACGTGGTAAGTTCGCTGGGTCACGCAGAGCAGATATGCAGTCGGATCGCGGACCCCGTGGGTTGCAGAAACGGCGTTCCCACCGGGAGGCAGTGCCGCTGGCAGCGTCCCGGGCGATTGCCGCAAGGTGCGCCCGGGCGGCGCGCTCTTCTCCGGTCAGGGCTGGTGATGTGTGGGTGGGTTCACGTCGCTGCCGCTGCTTGCTCGGAAGGCCATGTGCGTTCTGCGGTGATCGGTTGCTCGCCGGTGGCGCTTGCGCTTGTCTCGTCGCTGTGCATGGAGGAGCTGGTTGGCTGGTTCCTGAGCACAGTAGGTCCTCTTCTTCTGCCAGAAAGCTGGCAGTGAAAAAGCAGGGGCTTTGGGACGCCAAGGCCGCCTTTGGCATGGTCGAGGTAAACGGCGGTACGCGCCAGCCGCTGCCCGGCAGTGTCCCCTCTACCACCCAGATGCGGATGGCGTTAGCAACGCGGTTAGCGACCGCGACATCGGGTGGGAAGGCGCGAGCAATATGCGCCCCACGGCCCAACAGGTAGACGGTTGCGAAAGCAGCGTGCCGTTTCAACAGCGGCCGCAGGCCGGAGGCAGCCTACTCAGCGATCAGCGCGTGTTCCTCACGCTCCCACCGCAGCCAGTTCTGCCGCCAGGTGGTTGCCGTACAGGAGTCCCAGTAGCCGCACGGTGACGGCCGGGGACGGCGCCGCGTCCCGGTCATTGAGCTGCATCGGTGCCGCCTCCGCCATAAGCACGGCGTCGAATGGGCGGACACGGAGCGCGCCTTGCCCAACGTCCGTGACCTTAGTCTTCGTGCGGTTGACCAGCGCACCGGTGGCCGTCTCGTACTGTCGGAAGAGTGCAGCGGCGGCACGCAAGTGTTCTGGCCGCGGCCCCAGGATGACGTGCACGTCGGCGTGGACGGCAGCGACGTTGCCACGCAACCCCCCGCCAAGGCTGCCTGCATTGCGGTCAAGCTGCCGCAGGAGTGGGTCCAGTATCAGGACGTACAGGGCGGGCGAGAGCGGGCAGCCCTGGATGACGCCCCCGTCGAGGTGGACCGCCGGGCTGTCCCAGCCATGGATGTAGGGTGCGGCAGTCGCCCCGACGTACATTGTCTGGAGGTCGCGATCAGAGGCGCTGGGACGCCGCGGGCGGCCAGGAGCCTCCACAAGTAGCCGTGGTGGACGCGGTTGAACGCCTTCACCTGGTCCGTCTCTACAAGCTGACCGGTTCAGGCTCCTTCGGCGGCGAACGCGGCGCGGAACAGCCGCCGGGTGTCATTGATTGAACGGCCGCGGATGGCGCTAGTCTGCCGCAGGTGGAGCAGATGCGGCAAGAGGGGCGCGAGCCGCCCGAGGAGCACCCGTGCGAATAACTTCCGGTCGCTGTTGAGTAGTGTAATCGGCCGCCAGTTGGCTGGATCCGTACTCTCGCCCGACTTGGAAAAATAAGTGGTCCGTCTGCGCCGCTGCGAGTCAGAAAAGTGGCCGCTGCGAGTCAGAAAAGTGGCCGAGGTGGCGCGCCGCATCAAACGCGCGCGCCAGCCAGTTCTCGAAGGCTGCATAGAAGCCGTCGTAGAAGCCGTCGGGTCCCGGTGCCGAGTCGGGTCTCCCCCACTGGATCGCGTCGCGGACCTCTGCCTCTGAGATGGGCTTGGAGGCAGCGGCGCCGACTGCCTGTTGCACGGTATCCCAGTCGCTGTCGCCCTCGCGGTCATTGGCGGTATGTTGGTGCCGCCTGTCTGCGTCATCCTCCGCTGCACGGCGGATCCAGTCGAGTTCAGCCGCCGTCGGCGGTGCATCGTCGCCCTCGGCTGCGCCGCCCTCGCGCTGCACGAGCGCAGCGTAGAAGTCCGCCATGATGCAGCCCATAGCGGCCGGATGGACGGCCCAGCTGCCGTCGGCTGCCTGCAAGGCCTCCATGGGCTCCGGCGCAGCGGCGGCCCTCTGGATGGCGCGCCACCACTGACTGCACGCCACCACTGACTGCACATGACGGCGGGTCCACACATGCGCATCTCTGCCCATAGGCGGCGGTGCCGGCGCTGCTCCGCTTCCTCACAGTCAACGGTCTCTCGGTCTCGGTGCAAGGCCTCGCCGGCACCCGGGTCGGAGTTAATGACGTCGCTCTGGGCGGCTAAGACGCGGCGGAGGGTGGCCTGGTACTGTCGGCTCCTTCTCCAGCCGGCGACAGCAGTCAGCGATGGCGGCCTTCGTGTCATCCCACCATTCGAGCCACTCCTGATCCCGAGTGTCACCCCGCGGGTCTGGGTGGCACGCGGCGAGTCGCCAGTTGAGCAGGCGCCCCACCTCTGCACTGTTCCGCTCGCAGCGGAAGAAGCTGTGGCGGAGGTGCCAGGTCCCCGGCCGGCGCGACCGGAGCCGGAGGTCGAGCAGGCGGAGGAGGTGCGGCCCAAAGGCGGGCAACTCGACGGCTCGGTGGTTCTCCGTGAGGACGTTCGTCTCGCTCCACACCCACGTCCGCCGGTCGTGGTGTTCCCCGGGGTCGCGCTCCGTAAAGCGCGTGGCCGGCGGCCAAGAGGGCGCGTCCGGCCCCTTGGTACGTGCGCTCACCGCCCGCTGGACCCGCCGGCCAAGCTGCAGGAAGTAATCCAGCGCAGCTTCCTTGTCCGTCAGGTCGGCGAGCTGCAGTTCCGCCATGAAAAAGGAAGACAAGTCCCTGTGGGCTTTCCACAGGAAAGCGGAGGGTGACGTCCTCGCATCAGGAACGATGCTGATAGAGGGCGGTGCCGCACGGGTGGCCGTCGATGGGCGGCAACATTTCCACTGCTTTGCAGCTGGTGGGCCGATGGTCTCGGCACACTGGGTAGCTAGCATCGGGTGTTCCGTTGGCGCTGCACCTGAGGCGACCGAGACTGCCGGTCGCACAGTTCCCACGACGACACGTAAGAGGTTGGACTGGGTGGGACCGGGTACCCCACACGTGGCGGTCGTGGACGCCGTCCCTCTACGAGCTGACGTATGCTGGGACAGAACGTTGAACACATCGCGCAATTGTTTGCGCAAGGCGGCGTCGCCGGCCGCGTCGACGGAGGAATCAGCGGCGGAACCGGACGGCGCTGAGGCCTGCGCGATGTGCGCCAGTTGTAGATGGATGGCCGCCGTCTCCACGCTCTCGTCGGCCGCCACATGGTATCGACTGCGGCCGGCGCCACCAGCTGA